AAGTCCAAAGAATTTCAGGGAAATTTATCTTCAATAGAATTAAGAGCTTTAGGAAAGCTTCGAGAAAAGACAGATCAGAGAATTAAATTTCAAGAAAATTTTAGAAACCCTCCGATAGAACATCTGGAACATGATAAAAAATTATATGAACATCCGGAAAACGTGAGAGTATTTTAAGGGTGTTATATCATGGAGATTTCATGATATTCAGCGAAGTTCTGAGTACTTCGAAGACGATCAGATAGCTTCAGAATAATCCCATTAACTTAAGCAAATTTTCACCGACTTACAATGAATTCCGTGGAATTATGGGGTATTCCAAGAATTCTATGATTGATCAGGGAATTTTAAATATATAATTTATATCAGAAAATTTCCCGGATTATTAAACAAACTTAGAGAACTTCAGGTAAGCATAGTTCAGGGAAAATAAGTGAGCGAATTTTAAGGGTAGAATACTTAAGGAAAATTGTCGAAACTACAAGGCAAATCAACTAATTTCGGTAAAGTTGCGGGTTTTTAAAATACACTGATCAATTCAGGGCTGTTTAGAGAACTTTAAAGAAATTCAATAATCTAGGTAGTTTTAATAACACCAGGAAAGTCTAGACTATTGAAGAAATTTTAAATTAGTGCCGATAATTGAATGGAAGTTTCATGAACTTCAGAAAAATCAAGAGAACTTCAGTGATTCCATGAAAATTGCGGGAGCACAAAAGTTCCAGAAATTTAGAAAAACTTCCAAAACTTCACATAAGGACAGTGGTCGTCAGAAACTTTTCGAGAACTTTTTAGAAATCTATGGACCTTGAGGGGAGATCCGCGAACTTCAGGAATTTTTATGGAACATAAGCAAAAGGCGGGAGCATTTGAAAGAAGTTGAGTAAACTCCGAAAATTGCCCATTTGTCTTCCTCCTGCAGCGAGAGGACCAATGCCCATGTCAAGAACTAATTTTCGGACAAGTTACCCTGAATGGTAGCCACTGCTGATTAATATTCGATCTCTACAGTCAGGGTTACTTCGACTCACTTGCTATAAAAAAATGTTTTTTCGGAATTATGAAATCATGAAATAGTATAATGCTAATTAGTACTTGTAAGTTACAAGAAGAGGTCATGAAGAATATGTTTGACACATAAAATCTGTCAATATTGCTTTCAGTGCGTCACAATCAGCGATTTTACGACTCGTGAGCGCTCACTCTGAGTGAACGCTCACGAATCATATGATCGCTGATTGTGACGCTCTGAAAGCGGAATTGACAGGTTTTATGAGTCAAACACATACTTTACACCCTCTTCCTGTTACTTACAAGTGCAACACAGCATTATAACATCGAATGATTGCATAATTCCGAAAAATATTTTTTTTATAGCAAGTGAGTGGAAGTAACCCTGTCTACAGTTGCGAAACGCTTATGGAACTCTATTACTGATTCTGACGCAGCAAGTCAGTGGTATAGCTGGCGGTTCTTTCCATGCCTTACTCTGATATCCGGTGCTCTGGGCTACGGTCATTTAAGCTCCAAATAATCCTCCCGCCGTGTTATTTCTTTAAACAAACAACAGCAAAGGCGTCGCATCTGTCATTTTCAGCGTTATGTTATGATTGAGGATATGGTTGCCAGTAAATTTATTTTTTCTGTTGAAGTTTTGACAACTCCGTCAATACGATGAAGCGCCCAGAAACACCTTCCGACACCCAAAAACACACATAAAACACAATAAGCACAAACACAAGGTGGCAGAGTGACTTACCCCCTGATACAAACATATTGTTATTCATTTGAGTTTTTTCGTAAGTTACATTTATGTGTTTTCCTGTTATTGGAACCTATGATGTAAAGGGTGTCCACAGCTAAATTGCATCACTTATAAGTACTCGCCAAAAATAAGTCTTTCAACCGATTGTCATTAAATTTTCAGGGAATGTAATAGCTTGGTTTACAAAATTTCACTCTATTTCTTCACCGAATTCAAATGCCCGAACTTTCTTCTTAATTTCACCTATAAGGTTTTGTACAACGGTTGAATCGACATTTTTTTTCTGCTTTCAAGCATAATTTCAACATTTCCTGCTCCGTAGTGACAACTTTAGGATGCTTACGGAGTTCGTGCTTCATTATAGCCCAGAATCTTTCGATTGGCCGAAATTCACCCCATTCGTCTTGTACCACTCCAGACCGTCCTTGGAGTAGTGACAAGAGGCGAGATCCGGCCAAAACATTGTAGGAACGTTGTGTGATTTGACATGCAGGCTTGGCCATTTACGGTTGTAGTTGATACGAAAAGCTTCCGCACGAACAAATCGCCTGCCAAATCATGAATTTCTTGGGGAACTTTCCGAGGGACTCTGAAACATCTAACTTGTCTTTCGCAGTCACATACTGGCTTCCCGGAATTTGTTTGAAGTCCGCTTTTACCTATGTTTCATCGCTCATGATCCAGCTGTGTGGTTTTGTTAACATTTGTGTGTACAGCTTACGTGCCCACATTCTAGCTGTCAAATTCTGTCGTTCATTGCGATTTGGTGCTTTCTGAATCTTGAATGAACTTTTTGTCAGGTGCTGATTTTTCGCGACATCCGTTTGAAGGCAGCAACCACTCGCTTGCGATCTTCAACGCAGTACGAAACTCTTTTTCTTGCCCTCACTAGCTTCGGATCGACAGTTAAACGTTATATGACACGAGAAACAGTAGATTGTTTTGATTCCCAACCTCTTTCCGATGGCTCGGTGCGAAAGATGTGGGTTGTTGAGGTGAGTGTGTAAAACTCAATTTTCAAAACTACTAGAAATTTCACAATGACACTCATACACGCTGAGACCATCTCACCCAAATTTTCATTAAAATTAACCCAAAGGGTAAATGTTACAGCTTTTTGAAAGTGATGTAATTTAACTGTGGACACCCTTTATAACAGACACGGACTTTCAACTAAAACTTATTTAAGTTAACTTAAATTCAGTTTATCCTCTACCTGTGCTCAATTAAAAATCTATAGAACAGCAAACATATGATTCTAGTTATTCTTTGTCCTCTTTTCTTTCGATAAAGATTGCCACGCAAGTTGCATGTATCGTGAGATATTCATCCATATTCTTGTTTTCGTTCGAACCGTATAAAAAGAGAGACGCATAATTCCAGTTAGAACGTAACAATAAAATTTGGAATTTGTCGTATTCATCTGAATAATTTTTCCAAAGGCAGCAACCTTCTATTTAGCAGAGCAGTCAAGTTAAAGCAAGCAATCATAAGTCAAATGGTACATAGGCGCCGACATATATGAGAATTCTAATCTGAGCTGCCCAGTATACAATAGGTCTTATCCATCTGAATAACTTCACTAAAAACCGCAACTGCTTTTCCAGTCGAAATGTATCCATACGAATGAGTAAAAGTGACTCGCAGTCTGAATGCGAGGTGAGCAGGATTATTTTGAAAAAAATTGGTTCGATTTGACAGCTCGAAATTGAATCGATTTTGGGGTCTGTCTTCGCTTCACCTACACCATCCACTGGAGGAATAAATATCACCATTTAGAAAACCACCGGCAGTTTAGTTGTCATCAAACTAATCAAAAGACTAGTCATCTTCCGCCTTTGGTCGATTCATAAACAATGCCGCTAAACTTATTTGATTTTTTTACTATAGCTGTTTTGAGACATTAGAACGAACCTTACCATCATATTCAACCGGTGAATGACCCGAAAATTCCCACCATCAAACGATCTTCCCTAGCCAAAATAAAGCAAAGACAAATCGAGTAAACCGAAACCACATTGAAATAATGTACATACTTTACCCAACAAGTATTAAAAGTCAAGTTTGAAGACGCAAGTCAACCCAGTGTTACCAGGTGTTATTTTTCTCCTTCCAGAAAAAAAAGAAACGTGCGATTACTATGCCTTGAGCTATGCCTTGAGGTTACGTTTGCTCCAAAACTGTGCATCACATACTCGAATAAAAGTCCCTCATCCTATTTCATCTAAAATTCTTCAAACGTAGACAGCGGCGTTATCAATTACGATTAAATTCCATTCCCTTTTAATTGCTTATCCTCGACTGATACGTGTATTTCGTTAACTGAAGAAGTTGTGATATACGTGTATCTGTCGACGATAGGCGATTGCGGTAGTGGAATTGAACTGTTCTATTTGTACACAAATTTGATAGTCTGTTAAACAGATTATAGCAAGCCATGAATAAACTATATTTAGTGGGCTTGTTTATCGGTTTGCTGTTTTCTTTTTCCTTCTTTTGGGATTGATATGCGAGTATAACGGTCACACGGGGTAAAATGCACCCCCAGGGAAAAAAATGCTTTTTGCTAATTTTAACAGTTTCGCGGATTAATCTAGCATCATTGCTAGTTGAGACATTGAACTAGCAATGCTGATTCACAAATCCTCGTTAAAAAACGTATTTAAAATGCCTAAAAGTAAATTTTCCCACTAGCAAGAAATCTACCAATTGCTACTACACATAACCTCAAAAAGTCAGTAATCTGTCACCAAAACAAATAATCCATAAATCGAACATCGCAATAATTTTTTCCCCCTTTTGGAATGCTGCTCGTCGCCAAACCCAGAAGACAACCAAACTGAGAAAAAAAAAAGATCACTATCGACAAATACCGTAGATAATTGTGTATAACAAATTAAGGTAAATGCCAGAAGTTTCTTCTCTCCGTGTAAACAATAGAAACCCAAATCGAATAGAAACCTTCTCCTTCTTATCACGCACTGTATTTCCATTTTACTCCGCTACTGAGTGGAATTGTTTTGCGTTCTCTTTATCTTCCACGAAAAATATCACTCAGCTCTCAGTTTGTCGAGAGAGAAAAAGAGAAAGCAATGCAATTCTACTCCGTCAGTGAGTAAAATTGAAATTCAGCTTAGACTCATCATTGGTTCCATCTGTGTATCTATCGGGATGTATTTTATTTCGGATTTTGTACTCATTCAAAAATTGTAATGTAGCTGCTTTTTGGAATAACAAAAAAAAATATCCAGTGAACCGTTTACGCATGCATGCATTTATAAATAAAGTGATAACTTTGGTACTTCGTCGTATTAGTCATTGTACAGAAAATTAAAATCAGTCATAAGAGGGGAACTATAAAATCGAATCAGTCGGAGCGAGAGACACACTCAATGCAAAACGAAGTTAGTGATAATATTATGAGAGAAAAAAAAAACAAATTGCAGTATGACAAGATAAGGTGATTTATTCAAGCGATCGCGGCGTAATGTTTGCTCGAATTCATGCTGAATGACTAGGACTCGTACAGAATAAAATGGGGGTCATTATTTACCCTTCCGTATATAGCTAACTATTACGTAAGATTTAGCGGAATATTTAGCGTTGGAATCACTGGAAGAAAATCGTGAATCATTTACAGTTCATTCGAACTCACACACACAAACAAAGTAAATGTTCAATCTCTTATTTTTTTTTACCTTTTACGAATTCACGCTAAGAATTATCAAACGAACTATGCAAAATTTGATGATATTTGTAGTTTTTACCAATTACGGACAGTGAATACAAAACCACAATATTATTATATAAACGCCAGGAAAATAAATTTGATGATGATCGTCAATCAACAAGTGACATGAGCCTAATGTTGGTATCCAACTCGGTAGAAGTTGAAAGAACGTCCTTCCTCCGTCTACTTCTTCATCGTCCCTTGCGACTTCTTATGGCCACTGGCTCCAGGGAAATCGATCAGTATCACCGAGAGGCCAGCGCTCATACGGTTATCGAACGATTTGGCGATATTCTCGGACGAATCGGACGAACGCGTTGATGTCGAGCACATAGACATTTTCGATACTGCAATGTACAGAAAAGGAAATCGATAAATTCCGTCTGAAACTTACCCGGAAAGGTATTGCATTCACCTGGTTTGGACGAGCCCGTATCGTCGCCGCGACTGTAGTCCGAAGCGGGTGAGTTTTCGCTTCGCCACGATATCTGACTCTTCGCCCGACGCACCACCGGCAGACGTAAGCCCTTATCGTAGAAATACTTGTTCACCGTAGGATTCATTTCCTGGAATATCTCGATCAAATCGGCTATCTGGTGCAGCGCCATATTGTTGCGCTCTTCCAGCTCCTTTAGGTTCAAATCTTTCTGGAACGTGGCCAGCAAATATTCGTCATTGGTTTTCGCCTTGGCAGCCTTTATGGCCAAACGAAGTTCCCGTTCTGCGCGTTGAATCTTCGTCTTCTGATCAAGCAGTTCCTTCTGAATCTTCAACAGTACATCATTGTTATCGAGTCGCACTTTTGTAGTCGCCTCCAGTCCTTTATCACTTTCCTCGCGTTCTTCGTTCAAATTGTGCAGATTTTCCGTATTAAACGCCAAGTCAGTCCTTACACTCTTCAACGCGGACAAAGCCTTACAATAATCATTTTGAATGTGATTCATCTGCTGAATATCCGGATTATCTTCATCTACCTTCTGGAAACCACGCTTATAGGTTTCGTTCGAGAAGTTCATCAGCTTCAATGTGTTCTCCAGAGCCTTCAGGTCTTCCTCAGCTCTTAGAATCTTCACATTCAACTCACTACCTTCCCTCAGCAGCATGTACTTCTCCTGTGCATTCTGGATCTTGATCTGAGTAGCCGTCACGATCGTCCCATCATCATTCTTACCCAGCAGATCCAGCGATAATTCATACCGATTCTTCAGCTGCTCGATCTTCAACATTCTTTCGCTGATATCCGCCTTAAGCTGTGCTCGCTCATCATGTAGATATTTCTTCTTCAACATCAACATATCCTTCTGCGAATTGATGTCGATCAATCTCTCATTGATAGCCGTCTCCAGCTCCATTCGATGGCGGTCCAACGTATACATCTTATCATTCTGTTTATTCACCATCTGCTCCATCTGATTGATGCGCATTTTCAGCAAACTCTTCTCCACCAATCGCTCCTGATTCTCCGTCGTACACTGTCTCAGTTTTTTCTCTCCTCCCTCCACCATCAACGATTTCTCCTTCAGTTTCCCAATCATTCTCTCAATCTCAATGCAATCCTGCTGATACACTGCGTTCATATTTCGAAAATCAATCTGAATCTTCGCGATCTGCGCCTGCAGCAGCGAATGATTCTGCATCCTGGCATGATAAATCGCCTCCGCTTGTACCAGCTTAGCGTGCGCCCGGTTTGCTCCTTCCTGCTTATCTTCCCCTTTCATGTTCGCAATTCGCTTCTCTATCGTCTCCATGTTGTAATCCACGCTGTACGAAATCTCTGTCTGCCGGATGATCTCCTTTTCTTGCGTCTTCATTGCCGCCCTGATCTTTCCAATTCCCGATTCCATTGAATGAATCTCAATTTTCAGCAGTTTATCTTCGTCCTTCATTGTCACCAGCTGCGTTTGCGCCCGATACAGTGCAGTCGCCAGGCGAGCCGTCTCATCGCCCAACACTTTCATCTGCTTCTCCTCCTGCTCGACAATTTCATTCAACTGTCTCAATCTCTCTTGCGCACACAGCGTCTTGCTTCTGAAGTTTTCAAACTTTTCCCTCAACTCTTCCAGTTGGCTCAGATTGGTATGAATTTGCTTCTCCTTCTCAGCTTCCTCCATCAATGCCTGACGATTTTTGTTACGCATCCCCGTCAACTTGTTGGACACATTCTGCACCGCTTTCCGCGTTATCTGATACTCGTTTGTCTTTAGCTGCACGCTATCCGTCAGTGCATTCAGGCGATTTCTAAGCTTCGACACCTCCACGTTCAACTCGGCAATGCCCAGCTCAATTTCCTTGTTGTTCCGTTGCTGTTCCTCCAAGAATTCCACTTGCGCTTGCAGGTCATCATTCAGCATACCGCTTATTTCCCGTGCCTTCTCGATCTCCGTCTCGACCACCTTGATATCGTCCTCGCGTTGATTCATATGCTTCACGGCTTCCTTCCACTTCAGCACCAGCTGTCGACGTTCGGAGTGCGCCTGGCGGTACAGTTGGGAGGTTCGTTCCAGAACCTGCTCCAACGAACGGTACTCCTCGGCCAGTGTTACCAGGATCGTTCGCCTCTTGGATACCTTGTCTTCCAGGATCTTTCGTTTCGCCTCCAGGGTGTCCGCCCGTCCGGTGTCCAGCTTGCAGTACTTTTCTATTAGCTTGTTCGTCTCTTCGCCGTTTCCCATTACCTGTTTCCATTCGGCTAGTGCTGCCTTGGCCCATTTGATACGCTCGGTGAAGCGTTCCATGTTGGCGGTGAGCTTCTTCATTTCCTCTGCGGAAAAAAGATTAAAGTGTTTTGGTTTGAAATGCATCTGTTCAGGGATAAATAAAATGAATCGAAAGAAAGTGCTTTTTTTTTAAACGTCAGCAAAGTGGCAATAATGGTTGATGCTACGTGTATCGAAAGTAATTGAAATCAAAGTAGTCGTTGGATTACCTGACCTGGTCACTCCTGTTATTTTTCGCTGTCATTCCAATTCAAGAGCTCGATGTGAGCAATTCAAGTTTGCTGTTCATTATTGCCCCATCCTGTCCACGTAGTTCCTTCAGGTTATGGGCTCGTCTACTAAGGAAGGCTCCGGAATTCCGCAGTTGAATGGAATGATCTTCGAGAATTGGCGGTTTCGAGTTCAACTATACCTGGATGCGGCAGAAGTTTCGGACGTATTAACCAAGCCAGTTCCCGGTGAGTCGGACCAGGGAAGGACGAAGTTTTTGCAGACAGATCGGAAAGCGAAGTCCTTACTAGTTGTATTCCTTTCTGATGAATGTCTAGGCATAGTACGGGACAAGAAGACTGCTCGAGAAATGTGGAAGGCACTGGAAGATACATATGCGAAGAAGTCTGTAGCAAGTCAGACCCTGGTGCAGAATAAGCGAACCATCTTCTACGTGAACTCCGGATGTAGCGACCATCTGGTTAACAGTTTAGATTGCATGCAGTCGGTCTGGAAGCTCAAACAACCTTCCGTTATTGATGTGGCCAAAGATGGTGTTTCGATTGTTGGGAAATATGAAGGCGAAGTCAAGGGGATTTCCAAAGAAGATATTATGTTCCAGATGAAAAATCTAATTTTCGTACCAGAGCTGCAAGGCAACCTGCTTTCTGTCAAGAAGATGTCCCAAGCCGGGATTGACGTGTTGTTCACAAGCCGTGGCGGAAAACATCAGGCGCTGATGAAGCAAGGCGATCGGTGTGGCACAGTTGCGAGGAAATCTCTACGAGTTGGAGTTAGATCTTGACGTGGTAGGACCTACAGCAAATCGCTGCGCAGTGGAGGTCAGCATCGTCGTTTGGGTCACGCCAGTCAGACCACGATTAATACGTTAGTTCGACACAATATGGTGCAAGCGCTTGGCCCAAAAGTTGATTCAATTGGATTCTGTGACACATGTGTACTTGGAAAGCAGTGCAGAGAACCCTTCAACGGAACTCGTGAGCGAGCCAGTCGATTGCTAGAGCGGATACATTCGGATGTGGACCAATCGATCCGCCGGCTTGGGATGGATCGAGATATTTCATCTCCTTTATAGATGACTACAGCCATTTTACGTGCATCTACCTGATGAAGAGCAAGTCCGAAGAGCATTTTCAACAGTATGCCATGGTAACCACCCAGTTTGAAAAAACGAATTTGCAAGCTAACTGTCGACCAGGGACGTGAGTATTGCTCCGGAGAACAGAAAGCGTACTACAAACGAAAGGGAATTCAAATTCAGCCAACCGTTGCATACTCGCCTCAACAAAACGGCGTGGCTGAACGGTTCAACCGAACTCTAGTAGAAAAGGTGAGAACCATGCTTATCGACTCAAATATGCCAAAGTTCATGTTGTCGGAGACAGCACTTACTGGAACGTACTTGTTGAACCGGTGTCCTACTGCTGCTCTGTCGGATAATCGTACACCTGCTGAGCACTGGACAGGTGCAAAACCTGATCCTCTCCTAGCTGCTTATCTTTGGATGTAAAGCGTTTTCGTGCGTTCCAAGAAAGCTGAGGAAGAAGTTGGACAACAAGAGTCGGGAGGCGGTCATGATTGGCTATGCTCCAAATGGTTACCGCTTATGGGACAGAAAAGCAAAAAAAGTATTCATCTCTCGTGACATCAAGTTCGATGAAGCTTCTTTACCATACGCAAATGAAGAAGATGGAGGCTCGAACGTTCCCTTAGTGATTCCCATGCTGTATCCGCCAGAGGGGGACAATTCGTCGGCCAAACAAGAAGCAGTAGCTGTTATCGAAAGTGAAACCGAAGATGAAGTCGATCCGCATACGCAAAGCACCGTTGATCTGAATGAAGAACCAACCGAAGAAGCTCCATCCGAAAACCATGGGGCGCTCCCTTCACAACATAGAGGTGATGACTATTCAGAGTCTGACACTAGGCGCAGTGAACGGGAGCGCAGGCTCCCAGGTAAGTTACTTGACTTCTTTACTGGGTTTAGTGCAACATCTGCTGGTAAAATTTCAACTCTTCCAGATCCCCCGGAATCGTACGCCGAAATCGAAGATTGAGAAGATCGACAGCTCTGGATGACCGCAATTAGAGACGAGTTAACATCTCTTGAGGAGAATAAGGTGTGGACGACGGTAGAATGCCCTGCCGGTATCAAGCCCTTGCAGTCGAAGTGGGTCTTTCGCGTGAAACAGGATGAAGGAAGAAACCATGTGCGATGCAAGGCAAGACTGTTAGTCGAAGGTTTCTTGCAGAACGACGATTCGAATTGTGCTGGCCGTAGGCGTACAAAGGGGATTCCAATTCGATCAGATGGACGTCAAGATGGCGTTCCTTCATGGTGAGCTACAAGAGAGAATCTTCGTGGCTGTTCCGGATGGCGTCAAGGCAGACCCTGGGCTGGTGTTACAGTTACAGAAATCTTTGTATGGTCTGAAGCAGTCTCCTCATTGTTGGAACGAAAAATTTAATCAAGTGCTGCTGAAGCTAGTTTTCGCACGTTCCAAGCACGACTATTGCCTATACACCCGTATCGACAAGAGGGGGAAAGACGTTGTTTTCATCGTGCTATATGTCGATGATCTCCTGATAGCAGGTATGCAGCTGACCACCATAATAAAGCTGAAACGCGAACTGCCGGCGATGTTTGAAATTACCGATTGTGGAGAGTTGACTCACTTTCTTGGGATGAAGAAACGGTACGATCAACAAAATGGTAGAATGATGCTGTCTCAAGAAACCAGCCTGGAAAAGATCTTGCAGAAGTTCGGCATGGCGGAGTGCAATGCAACAAGGACGCCAATGGAAAAAGGATTGAAATTGGATCGTCAAGTGGCCGAAGGTGTTCAAGAACCGTATTATGAATTATTGGGAAGCCTGATGTACATGATGATGTCCACAAGGCCGGACATTTGTTTTCCTATCGGGATATCTGGGGAGATTCCAACTACAACCTGGGCAACAACATTGGACAGCTCTGAAACGGGTTGTACGATGCGAGACAATCAAGCGGCGCCACTCATCGGGTGTGCTGATTCAGACTGGGCCACCGATACTGACGACCGGAAATCAGTAAGCGGATTTGTTTTCCGTGTTTTCGGATGTACTGTTGCGTGGTCAAGCAAGAAGCAAACAACAGTTGCAACTTCTTCAAGCGAAGCTGAATATGTAGCGTTGAGTGATGCAGCATCGGAAGCAATATGGCTAGTCGGTGTTCTAAGCGATCTCGGTGAGCTGAACATTGAACCAATCACCATATACGAGGACAACCGTGGATGCATTGGTATGACCAAGAACTTGGAGAGTAAGAGAGCCAAACACATCGACATTAAACACCATTTTCTTCGTGATCATGTCGCTGCTGGTAAGCTATTGGTGGAGCCGATTGCCAGCAAAAACCAGTTGGCTAACTTCTTCACTAAATCGTTGGACGTCGGACGATTTGAGGAACTTCGGACGATGCTGGGACTATCCAAGCGAGAGGGGGTGAAATAAAAGTAGTCGTTGGATTACCTGACCGGGTCACTCCTGTTATTTTTCGCTATCATTCCAATTCAAGAGCTCGATGTTAGGAATTCAAGTTTGCTTTAATAAAACGTTCTTTTGTTCGTTAAGTCTCGGCCTGTTCATTATTGCACCGTCCTGTCCACGTAGTTCCTTCAGTAATGTTACAAGATTTTAATGCAAATCCGCATGAGTTCATTGCATTTTTCGCATACAATAACATTCAGGTAAGTATATTGTTGTGAAAATTCAGTGAAATCAACGTTTTAATCTTGGTTGACGTAAACAGTCCCAATCTGCTGAAGCTGTAATTGACCCTATAGACGAGTGCACGGATGGATTTGAGTTTACTCACTCGAGAAAAAGTGGCACAAGCTGCGGGCAATGTTTACTTATCAATCTAGTGCGAATCACTGACGGACATCGATTGCCATCAAACGACAACGAGACAAACGAAAAAAAAATCGACGATAAAATACATTGTTTACAAAAGCTGATACGTCCCTTCGAAAAAGTAATCGAGCTATATTCTACAGGTATCATTCATGTTTTGACTAATGACTAAAATCTGAGATTATTTTCAAAAATAGAACAGGTATTTTAATATACGTGCTCTGTTGCTTATTTAATTTATTTGGTAACTTAGTTTGGTGTCATAATGATAGTAATAAAATAGTCAATACATAAATAGTACATGTGTAGGATAAATAATTCAGAAATAAAAACAAAAAAATCAACACTCACTTTGCGACCGCTGATCGTGCCTCTGCAGTTCCTCCTTCTGGTACTGCACCTCCTTCGAAAGCTTCCGCAGCTTGCCGCCATCGTTCTCCGACAGCTTCAGCAGCCCGTGTTCCGTATCGATCTGAGCCTTGTCCTCACTCAGCAGCTGCAGATTCTGATCGAACTCAACCTGGGCGCTCTTCAGATGCGCCTGCAGATTGAACAACCGCTGGTCACTGATCTGCACCTTGCCGGAACCATCCGTTTTCCGGTCACCCAGCCGATTCACATAGTCCAGCAGTTGTTTGTTCTCGGCGTTGGCGATCGGAATGAAACCACCGTCCGATCCCCAGCCCATCTCCTCCATCACCCGGATCACGTACGGTTGGGTCATTTTGATAAATGAAACGATTAACTGAACTTGATTTCCACTAGAAGGACACCATGAAAACACAAAACCATGTACGATTTTTCCGGATAAACAAATTTTCAATTCATGGCACACGGTTGCTATGGTGTGCATCCATGGTGGCCTCCTCTGTGGCAGCCATGCGTATTTACGAGCGCGCGAAACGAAGAGGGCGCGCGCATGCGTTACACGACCGACCACGTGTTGCTCGAACTGACTGGAGCAGGACCGCAGTCCACAATGAATCCACGATCCTGCGAATCTGCGGAGCAGCAACAAAACCCGTGGAAAACAACGTCATTCAAGAGATCGGGGCTTCTATTTTTAAAATGCGCGTCTCGCATGTTTTGATGACAAACACGCGAGAGACCTGCGCCAACCGTTGGGATGGATCGAGGAAAATTGGCCCCGTCTGGCGCAGCCCTTGTCCGAGTGTGAGATCGGAGAGAAAAGTGGTTCACAGTCTATTCGTAACACATTCGTCGCACGGGAAAGATGTGAAAATTTTACGGTCGATCGAGATGTGAAGGAAAAGTGATCGGGCAAATTTGACCAATTTTGGGGATTTGTGTACGCGAATTCTCGGGTAATTGCAGTCGATTGAAAATTACGTCATTATGTGCACCAAAAGCCTCTCGTGTCCGTTGTGCTGCCAATCGATATTTCCGAATATCGATGCCCTACGGTTAAGTCTGCTGAAAGTTACCTCGCGGCCATTAAAATGTCCGATCTGCGCCGACGAGCTGCTGGGGTTGGACAAGCTGACTATTCACCTTTTCGGACACTCGATTCTGGGCAAGGAGGAGAGAAGCGCTCCGGTAGTGGATAAGAAGAAGAGCGTAACGAATGCTCTGAAGAATGTGCGTAAAACCAAGAAGGAATCTACTCCAGGAAGTAGTGGGCAGCAGCAGAAGCAAGCAGGGCAAATGAATCACGCTAGTAATGCCAAGTGTGACGTTTGTGGAGATGAATTTCGCGACCAGAATCTTCTAAAAATGCATTCCTGTGTGTCGCAGGGGGCCGGTGGAAGCTCCGACGGGATGGAGCTCCGTTTCCCATGCAACATGTGTTCGAAAACATTCAAGATGAAAGGCTCCCTTAAGATTCATATGCGGGTCGTACATCTAGGTTGTCCAAGAAAGAGTTCGTCGAACACCAGCTGTACTAGTAGTAGTACGACAACGACGATCACGACCACTACTGCGGCACCTGTTTACTATAGCAATGACGTAACGCAGTGCAATCTATCTCTACGAAGTACTGTTTATGCTCCCCCACCACTACAGCCGATCCAACCACAGCATGTTCCACCGCAATCGCAACGGACTCCACCTCCTCAGCCGATGATACCTCAGCGACCAACACCTCACTCGCCTCTGCAGTCGGCAACGTCGCTCACCATTACCACGCCCAACAGCAGTGAACCGCAGATTATCAAGATCCTAGACCCACGGCAGTTGACCGAATACGTCTACGTATCGAATCAGCCGCAACCACAACTAAATCAGCAACAACAACAACCACCTCAACAGCTGCCTCAGCATCCATCGCCTCAACAACAGCAACAAGTTGTCGAACGTATCATTGCCAACAGTACTCCGCCTAGCGTTCCATCACCCCTTGCTACACCTACTCCGAGTGGCAGTAATGTAGGTAATTGTAACGGTAGTTGCAGCTCCGTTTCCTCTCCTTCGCAACCATCGCCTTCTCCCCAGTCGACCAGCATCAATTCCATCTCCGATGGCAGCAATAAGCACTGGGAATGCGACGTCTGCCTAAAAAGCTTCACCACAAAGTACTTCCTCAAGAAGCACAAACGACTCCATACAGGTTAGTTCTGCAAAATCTACGCTTTGTCCTAAAATTAATTTCTTTTCTCCGCAGGAGAAATGCCGTACTCGTGTCAAATTTGTGGCAAAGCATTTACGTTCCAACAATCGTACCATAAGCATCTGCTGTACCACAGCGACGAGAAGCCTCACGCGTGCACGATTTGCGGGCGGGCCTTCAAGGAACTGTCCACGCTGCATAATCACGAGAGGATTCACAGCGGAGAGAAACCATTCTCCTGCGAGACTTGCGGTAAGTACAAGCCCGTTTGTTTGTTCTGTAGTTGACGGTCTGTTCTAATCGTCCCTTTTCCGTAAACCCACAGGAAAATGCTTCCGGCAGCGCGTATCCTATCTGGTCCACCGACGGATCCACACGAACACCCAACCATACAAATGCACCGCCTGTGACAAAAGCTTCCGCTACAAGGTTTCCCAACGGACGCACAAATGTCCCGCCCAACCGCCCGGAACGGTGATCCGCCAAACGGGTGATCTTCTACAGAAACTCCTCCAATCTTCGTCCATTCTTCCAACGCTCAACGAGGGTTCACCCTTGCCCATCTCAACTCCACCGCCGGCCCCTCCTCCGTCGATAGAAACCCCCGAACAACAGCTACATCAGCAGCAAGAGCACGACGACCTGCATGACATCAAATCCGAAGACGACATCAACCGAACCTTGGACGAACTGTTGAACGAATCCTACGACAAGATGGGCATCGGGGAACATCAAACCAGCTACCAAGATGATCACCAGCAAATTCCTAACCCATACCATCATCATCAACAACATCATATCCACCACCACCATCATCATGAACAACAGCAACCGCTGGGGATGGATGGCGCTAGCAGTGCTGGAGAGACCAGCATGATCGTACCGCGGATCGAGAGCCTGTGCTTGCTGTCACCCAATCCGAGGGATTTGATGGCTTTCGATGGTGAAGCGATGGAGGTGATCGACTCCATCAAGCTGGACTTGCTGTACAATTGAAGGGAAATGGTAGGTAATGTGTGAGTGTTTTCATTTTGAAATGTCAATTGGAAGTTTTCGCTGTAATATGGTTTGAATGTATGTGGCTTGGTAGCTCCAAGAATGGATCTACAGCAACCGCTCCATATATGCGGTGGGTGGTATCGTCCACCCACCGCTGTTTCTCGCTTGTGCTTCAAACAATTACGCATTAGTGTCAACCATAAACTACAGAAATTCGGTTCAATTGGTTGAACGACAGCCGAGAAACAGCGAGGGGTGAACGGTACCACCCACCGCATATATGGAGGGGTTACTGTATATGAGCATTTCCACGCCAACTGACGAATCGATCAGGCACGACCTTTTCCGATTTCCATATTTGGCCTGGGTTTGCTCATATGTTTAGTTGATTTTATGTGTTGGAAAATTTGGATGATAAGTTTATTTTGCAGTTAATTAGACTGGATAAATTGAACACATGTTTATACTAGTGCCAAGCTATTAAAGATACTTTTAATCATATCTAGGAAAATTTTAATAAAATAACCTAAGCTTGAAAAATTCTACCGAAATTATTCATTGTGAAATTTAACCTTTTAAATAATTGCACTTCATTTTCTACTACAATAAAATGTTTCATCACCATTTCTTCGAAAATTTGGGGCCTCAGATACACGGAAGCAAAGTAGATGGGCAAAAATACAACATTGATGGAACCTCCAGTTCAGCAGTTGCGATCATCACGGCTCATGATTTCGTCGTAGGTACATGGTGGATCTACTGGGGAGGACGTTTTAACAGCAGATGTCGCTCTTATACCAGTGACGAAATTCAGGAACTTACCTGCAAGCCTGCGCTTCCGTTCGCTGCGCATCGTGTTGGACTCTACACAGTCTTGACGTCTTGGTTGCGAAGGGAGCGCCCCAGAATTTGCTCCAGCTGGTTCTGGTTCTTCAACTTCATGCTGTTCACCATCAGATGGATTATCTACCTCATCGCGCTCATCATCAGTCGCTTCATCGCTATGAATCGCACCTTCAGAATCAGATTTCGCATCGTTCACAGCATCTTGATTATCGCAACGCATTGGAATCACTAGACGATCATTTTCAGCTGGAGTTTCTATCGTTGAAAACGGAAAACAAGCTTCACAAAAGCAAACATCTGGGGCGATAAAAACCTTTCTTGATGATTTGTCCCACAAACGATACCCGTTGGGAGTGTAACCTATCATCACAGCTTCTAAACTCTTGTCATTTAGATTCTTTCTCAACTGATTAGGCACCCAGGCACATGTCTGGTTTGACTTTCGTCCAACATTCGGCTGTTGGACTTCTGTTGATCATCATTGTAGCGAATAAGCAACGGTTAGCTGTATTTGAATAGCTTTTTGCTTGTAAAGGGTGTCCACGATGAAATTGCCACACACAAAATTGATTCGCAAAATTCGAGTTTTCATCCGATTGCCATCAAATTTTCAGGGATTGAGAAATAACTATTAAACTTCATTTTACCTTTTTACTCGTATTTTATTTACAGTCCATACGCAAATGCCCGCACCTTGGCCTTAACCCCGGCCATAAGATTCTGCACAACCTGTGAATCAACCGTTTTTTGCATGTAAACCCATACTTTCTTCAGTTCCTCGACTGTCTTCACTACCTTAGGTCGTTTAAGAAGGTGCTGCTTCATAATCGCCCAGTACTTCTCGATGGGGCGGAGCTCCGGAGTGTTGGGAGGGTTGAACATTTTCGGAACGAAATTGACCTTATTGTCCGCATACCACTTCAGCACGTCCTTGGAGTAGTGGCATGAGGCCAAATCCGGCCAGAAGATTGTTGGGACGTTGTGGGCCTTCAGGAGAGGAAGCAGCCGCTTCTGGAGGCACTCTTTTATGTACACCTGTCCGTTCATCGTGTCCTGGGTCACGAAAGGTGCACTCCGCTTCCCGCACGTGCAGATGGCTTGCCAACAAGGAATTTCTTCGCAAATTTGGACATCTTCTGAGTGCGGACATGCTCCGGAACGCTGAACTTATCCTTGGGCGTGAAAAACAGGTTGCCGGGGATCTGTTTGAAGTCGGCCTTCACATATGTTTCGTCGTCCATGATGCAGCATTCAACTTTCGTCAGCATGTTGAGGTACAACTTCCTGGCACGGGTTTTGGCGGACTTGTTCTGCTTCTCGTCGCGATTAGGGGCCTTTTGTACCTTGAACGTTCGAAGCCCAGCCTTAGTTTTGGCCTTCTGGACAAAACTTCGGCTTAGGTGCAGCTTCTTAGCCACATCCCTAACGGAGGCGTTCGGATTTCGGTTGAAGGTCCCAACTACGCGGTTGTGATTTTTGGTGTTGTACGGAATACTTTTTCCTTCACTTCTGGGCTTCCGATCGGTGGTCAACCGTTCCTCGAACCGCTTAATCACTCGCGACACCGTGGAATTCGCGATTCCCAACGTTTTAGCGATGGAACGATGCGAGAGATCCTTGTTCTCGTGATGAATGCGCAAGATTTTATCACGCACGAGCTGTTCTTTCGACTCCATTTCCGCGAGTTTTGATCACAGGACTTTAAAACTTGCAGGATGTAAATACTGCACTATGAACTAAATCCACCCAAATTTTCATTAAATTCTACCCAACGGTTAAAAAGTTAGAGCAATTTCATAGTGTGGCAATTTCATCGTGGACACCCTTTAGAACTTCTTTTGGTCATTTGAGCAATACTCTCTTCCTTGATCCACAGTTAGTTTGCTTGTTTTCGGATTCCAGTAGGACGACACGAGGGCTTCGTAATCTTTGAAACATTCAAACACCTTCTTATTGATTGTGGCAAAATAGCTGAAGTCGTCTATAATGGACACGAAATACCGGGAACCATTCCAGGAGGGTCAATCGGTCCACAGACGACGGAATGAACTCTTGGGTGCTGCTTAACGGATCTCTGCACTGCTTTGCTTTTACACACGTGTCACAAAAACCGATGTCCTTCATTTTCCCTTTGATACCAGTAACCATTTCATGCTTGACTAGATTGTATTGCTTGCTGGCTCTCGTGACCAAGGCGACGGTGCCAAATATACAGATTGATTTTTGGTGTAACAGGGTCCGCAACCAGCTTGAGCTGATAAAGATTACCTCTCAGATACGCTTCTGCTATGAGTTGACCTTCATATGACTCTTCTTCTTCTTCTTCTTCTTCTTCTTCTTCTTCTTCTTCTTCTTCGCATTTCAAGCTTATTACATATCGCATACTAGCTTATTGCGTGCTCTCAACTTAGTGTTCTAGATGCACTTCCACAGTTATTAATTGAGAGCTTTCGATGCCTGTACCATTTTTGCATTGATATAATTGTGTGGCAAGTCCAATCATACTTCTATGCCCAGGGAAGTCGAGAAATTTTCCAACCCGAAAAATTCCTAGACCGGACCGGGAATTGAACCCAGCCACCTCCAGCATGGTCTTGCTTTGTAGCTGCGCCTTTACCGACTGAGCTAAGGGAGGCCCCACCTTCATGACTCAAAATCATTTTATCGCTTCCATTCTGTTTCGTAAATAGCATCTCGATGCAGGCCAGTGACAAGGCCTATACCAACAGCAGCGTTTGACAGTAGGCAGCATGTCCCGGGCTCAAATAATTTATTTTGCTGTGCTGGGCCCGCTGTCACTGTATAACATGTTGCTTACGCGCCTGCCACTGGGCTGATCTCGATCCCTGACTCGGATAACTTCTTTACTGTTGCAGACAACGAAAACGGATTTGGCAACACTGTCGGTTGCCCTATCTTTATCGCAGGCCTCGAGAGCACTCCCCAAGGCGGAACAGAACTATAGTCAGACTGATAGAGAAGGTCTAGCCATCATCTTCGCAGTTACGAAGTTTCACAAAATGATCTTCGGTCACCAACCACGCTCCATTGATTCGAATCTTCGGCTCCAAGAAAGGTATCCCGGTGTATACGGCTAACCGGTTGCAATGTTTTGCCCTCACGTTACTTCTGTACGACTTTGACATCGAGTACGTTCGGACTGAGAAGTTCTGCCACGCCGACCTACTTTCCCGATTGATTAGCCAGAATGGAAAGCCAGAAGAGGACTACATCATCGCTAGCGTTACACTGGAGGAAGATGTCAGTTCAGTAGCCGCGGATTCACTAATGTTCTTCCCCTTAATTTTAGAGTCGTCGCGCAAAGCACCCAGGCCGATCCACTTCTACGCAAGGTCTACCGGTACATCCAAAATGGCTGGCCGCAATCTAAGCAGGTCGAACCGGAGATCAAACGATTCCACGCCAGACTGGTATCCTTAACCGTAGTGGATGGGTACATTTTGTTTGCCAAACGACTCGTCATTCCATCGAAACACCAAAAACGATGCTTGGGCCAGCTTCATCGAGGCCATCCGGGTATGCAGCGGATGAAAGCGATTGCCAGGAGCTACGTGTACTGGCCGTCACTCGACGAAGACATCGTTGGTTACGTCAAGGCCTGTGCGCAGTGTGCGTCCGCTGCGCAGTCTCCTCCTCATACTACACCGATGCCGAGGCCGAAAACAGTTGGCCCATGGCAACGCGTTCACATCGATTACGCCGGACCAGTCGAGGGTGGCTACTTCTTAATCGTCGTCGACTCCTACTCCAAGTGGCCTGAGATTGTCAAAACGTGCAGCATTACATCGATATCTACAATTACCATCTTGCGTGGACTTTTCTCTCGAATGGGGATGCCGGTTACACTGGTCTCGGACAACGGAACACAATTCACCAGTGCAGAGTTTGGCAAATTCTGTGTTACGAACGGCATCGAGCACCTCACGACAGCCCCGTTTCATCCACAATTAAACGGACAAGCAGAGCGTTTCGTGGATACATTCAAAAGGGCCATCAAGAAAATTTGAGAGGGGAGAGGAACAATGGATGAAGCAATCGATACGTTTTTGTGTACAGGAGCACGCCAAATCACTCTGTACCAGAAAACAAGACTCCGTCAGAGGCTCTGTTCGGCCGTAAAATCCGAACCAGCCTTGAGTTGTTACGCCCTGTTACGCCCACCTCCCGCACCCATCGCAGTTCCAGAAGAGCAGAAAGAACAGAAGCGACGAACGTTCAACCGCGACGATGCTGTCTACGCCAAGATCTACACCAAAACCATCTGAAAATGGGTACCTGGCATAGTTCTCGAGCGAATCGGCAACGTAATGTATAA